ACACACACACAGACACACAGACACACAGACACACAGACACACACAGACACAGACACACACACACACACCATCAAATTTGGGCTTTGTTTTCTCTGCATTATTTGATTGTGATTCTAACCTAGTAACATTATAAATGCCATAAGTGTCACTTTTGATCACTTTAATGGATCCTTGCTGAATATAAGTATTAATTTATTTTATATTATATTACCTGGGCGATGACATGGACTGAAGCTCGTTCTTGCTGGTTTTTAGGGGTGTTCGTGGTTTTTCAGCCACAGACACGGTTATAGAGGGTCCGACTTCACTGAACAACTCCTGATCATTCAGTTCCTACAAAACATACACATATTCAACACAAAAGAGCATTAAACATCATAATAACCCGAAGAATTCAAGTCATGCAGAATCTCAGGGGAAATGAATGTAATATACACTGAGGCCAGAAGTATTTGGACTGCATGTAAACATGACTTTCTCAGTGTCTTTGCTCCAGCTGGTGTTTTTAGTGTAATCCACAGCTTTTTGCCAAATGTTTAGCTTTATATTGTTGAAATGTTAAGGCTTTGTGAGTTCCCAGCATGCATTGCAGCATGAATAAATCATGCAGATACTGTTATAGGATTATTATTTTGCTGTTTGCTGAGTTCATTTAAACTTCTTTTGTTGTTGTTTTGTCATTATTGTTAGTTATTTGTTGTACCGTGATGTAAAGAGCTCATCTTTTTAATATTTGTTGATTGCCAGTGTTGTCTACATATAAGACTAAGTTATCCATTAAGGTTTGTCATTCGTAAACAAACATAAAATTGATAATGTGGTGACTTTTTACACATTCTTTATTTCTTCCAGGAAACAGAAAAAAATAAACTACCTCCCTGACAGTAATTGTTGTTTCAGTTGCTGTGACAAGAATTTTTCATGAACAAATACATTTTACATTGGCTAAACAAAGTATCTTTACTGAGAAGAGCTAGAATACTATTGTTGACAGAACCCAAAATCTTACTGCATCAAGTTGCCTTATTTTTTTTTAATTTTCTCAACTATTTATTCTTTACAGTGCACATAAATGTAAATATATGCATGCATTAAGCAGGTTTATTATAGTTAACTAAAACTAAATAACACATTTTCATTAAAAAAAACAAAAAACGTATTAAACTTATTAGTTTAGCTAGGCAAACATTTCTCATTTTCGTTTAGTTTAACTTAAAGTACTAAAATAATTAAAACTAAAGAAGCTAAAACTAATAAATAGAAATTCATAAAAATAACACAGACGTATAAAATAATACAAAAAAATGACAAAAAACACAACAAAACCACTAAAATTAAAGTAAAAACAGAAAATATAATAATCAAATCGAATTAAAATATTAACAAAAAATAATAATATTAGCCTATATGAAATGATGTTAAAATAACAAGTGTGACTCCAGAGTCCAGACGCATTTGTGGTGTGTGGCGCTGTGTGTTTGTGTAGACTTCAGTGTGATTCTCACCTGCGTGTCCGTCTCACACAGAGGCTCGTCCAGGTGGCGGCTGCGCGAGGGTTTGAGTTTATCAGACGCCGGCTGCTCCCCCTGCTGGACACACACAGGAACTACAATCACTAACACACACTCACACACACACACACACACACACACACACACGTCTGAGCTGTCTTGAGGCTGAATGATCTGAGAGCTGGACGAGCCGCCCCTCTGTTAACACCACAGCTGGCATCACTGCGATCTTTACACCCTCACATATACTTTACAGATTACTCAGATTTATTCTCTGGTTTTTGGTGGCCAATTCTAGCCTGTCTTTTATTTTACTTTGGGCAACTTGATTGATATTGAGAGTTGATATGGAAAACCTTGAGAGTTGATATTTTGGAAAATCCTAGTGCCTACATTCAAATACATTATACATTTTTGGACTATATGTGACCCTGGAGCACAAAACCAGTCTTAAGTGTCAATTTTGTGAAATTGAGATTTATACATGACCTGAAAGCTGAATAGATATGGTTTCCATTGAATAAAATGACATAAAAATTAAATTCTAAAAATACAAATATACTTTAAAATTCTATATTAAAAATATAATAGTTGCGTGTCATTTTTATATTCTAAATAATTGAAATAATAGTTTGTGTTCCTTTAATCACTGAAAGAAACTCATTCAGATTCTGAATTCTGATTCTTTATGTTTATTCCGAAAATTTGAGATAAAAATCCAAGAGAGACAAAAAGTCCTTTAGTGTCTTCAAACGACGTGCTGTTACCGAGAGAAAAGATACGTTATACATTATACCTTATACATTTCTAATGTTTAAACACTTCCTTCTGAATCAGTTTTAATACACAGAGTCATGCTTTGCACTCTTTTTCCACGCATGCATGTGGTGCTTTCAGAAAACTGCTGAGGAGCATGGAGGAGCTCTGCCTGATATATGCAGTGTCTGTACTCACAGGACTGAAGGGCTCTCTGCTCAGACTGCCTTTACTGTTCAAGCTGCCGATCTCAGTCTGAGAGCTCGACTGGGACATTCCCTCGAAGAACGGCCTGCGAAAGACACACAGAGAGAGGGATCTGTTAAAACATGAATAAAGGCAAACTCGCTCGGTCATTACTTACTGCTAAACTCAGAGCATCTGTCTGGGACGCACAAAGATTAAAGAAGCTAAATACTCACTCAGCAGACAGCAGAGAACTTCAGAAAACATGAAATACAGCACACGTCATATGGTCTCCTTTCAGGGTGATTTTTGTTCATATTGATGCCTCATATATAAATGCAGAGACGCAAACAGGTAATAAGGAGGAAAAAAGGTGAGAACATCGTGCGGATCGGGGGCATGCTTTTAAAGATATTTGCTTTACATGCTCATTTGTAGTTACTTTAAGGTTTTTTATTTTTTATGAAGTAATGTCCAAAACTAATTTTTCACAAAAAATTATTATTTTTTTTTTAATTAACAACTTGTTGCAACATTTTACAAAAATCAAGATTGAATATATTTGGTCAAAATCCCATGCTATAAAAGATGAAGTGCTATGCAGGCTATTTAAGACAATACTGTCTGATTAGACAGCAACACTGACTTAAAATGCTAAATGTTTGCCCTCTCTCTCTTCACTGTTCCCACATCTCAAACCTCAAATACATCAAATACTACCCCTTTTAGACAGTTTTTGAAGTAAAGAGTAAATAGAATACTATATAAAACTTATTGTTGGCTATTGCTACAAATATACCCCAGCGACTTAAGACTGCTTTTGTGCTCCAGGGTCACAAATATTATAAAATATAGACAGAGATAAGCATGAAATTGTAAAGAGAACAAAAAAAAAGTTTGAACCCTTTCCTAAAATTGTAGTAGTACAACTAAATATAAAATAAAATATTCATATAAAATATTAATTTGTTAAACTTGTAGAACACAAATATAAAATACAAAGAAAAAATATTCTACAAATTATTCAACATTACTCATCTTTGTTTGGTTAAACTCATTTTACTAAAATATAATTACAATGAAATAATTAAAACTAATAAATAAAAAAGTAATGAAAACAATATAACAAATACATGTTTTTATAAATAGAACCATGACAAAAACACCAAAATTCCTAAAGTAAAAACAAAACAAATATAAAACAGAAAATACCCTTTACAATCCAAGCAGTCCATAGCAAACTACATACAAACTAAAAT